CTTAATAAAGGATCACCGGCAAGGTTGCCAAAGTTAAAAAAAAAAAAAAAAAAAAAAAAAAAAAAAAAAAAAAAGTAGGCTTTTTTCTAAACCAGATTTTATACATTGTCTAACTAATTCAAGAGGCTAATTTAGAGGTACAAGCAATCGAAATTTTGGAAATAGATACCTTATCAAAAACATTATAGCAATATGGTATATTTGCTATATATAGCAACTGTATAAATACTATATGCTATATATACGATATAGGATTTGGGATTTGGGATTGGGATTTGTTTAGTTTTGCTATATGGGATTTTAGGTATGATTGGCAATTCTACTTTTCGATGTTTGTTCATGGAAAAATCACAAATCTCAAATGTTTGTGTGGCATGTATATCCGTACATACGTACGTACACGTATTCCGTTTCTATCATTATACGTATTTAGATGTACTGGTTTTCTTTTCGCAACACACCCTTTTAAATTATGCTGTATATGGCTAAATGCTACAGTACAAAAAAGCAATTGAAAGTTAATATGTACGTACATGATATTTATAACCATTTTTGAATATCTATTAAAAAAAATTATTTATTTATTTATAAAAAGTCGGTAATTAGCTCATTTTCAACCACACTCACAGAATTCCTTTCTTTTTTTTTGCTCATATATATATATATACTGTATGTAAATTCACCATCAATAATTACTAGAAAACAATAAGAATTTTTTTTTAAAAAGAATGACAAGTAATAGTATTATTGCGGTGGATATCCTTCCACATAATGATGGAAAAGTAGTAATGTACGGTGCACCTAATAAGGATATAACACACTTAGTTTCCGGTAAACTTCATATAATCCTCTCAAGACCACAAAATATGAAATTAATAACCATCAGATTAACAGGAAAATCCTAATATTCTGATTGGGAAGACCAATATTCAGAATTAGAAATAATTAAACTTGAACAAATTCTTCATGAAAAAAATTCTTTACCTAGAGGTGTAACCGATCTTGATTATGAATTTAGGGTTCCCGGTAATTTACCACAAACTTATAGAACTAATTTTGGCGCAATGTTTTATAAATTGGTTGCCGTCGTTCAACCAGCTTCATTAATGTCAAAATATACTAGAGTTGAAAAGGGAATTAATTTTTTAAGACACTATTTACCTTGTAGGAGAGAATTTTTACCTGCTCCTCCACAAAAAATTTATAAGGGTGAAAGAAAGGATATTATAAATTTTGAGTTGGAACTTCCTACAATCATTTGCGTTAATGAAAAAAGTTTATTAATCAGATTAAGACGATGTCCAAAAAGCGACCAAGGTCGCATGAAGAAGATTCACTTTGAATTGGTTCAATCTGAACAATATAGGTATTTATAATGACGTTAACATATATTTTGAATGTATTTTTAATATATTTTTTAATATACTTTTTAATATACTTTTTAATATACTTTTTAATATACTTTTTAATATATTTTTTAATATATTTTTAAAATAAATCCCATTTTTAAATATTATCTTTATTAATTTAGTGTTAGGCCAAGTCAAAAAGACATGGATGAATTTTCGGTCGATCCTTGCTCATTTAGTTTCCATTGTTCCATTAAATGGATTACCGTTAAAAAAACGTAAACGAATTTATCCTATAGCCCCGACAACATTCAATGTTTCCAATGAAGTAGACAATTGGAATAATGCATTGATTTATGACCTTCCGTTTGCACAATATTCCCAAGCTACTCGCAAATCTCGATTAAAAGCCACACTTAAATCCCCATTAATGAAAGTTAGACATAAATTTAGATTTGTATTGATGTTTGAAGATGAAAATGAAAATGATTTGGAATTAGTATTTCCAATTAGTGTTACCACTATTCTCGAATAAAAGAATTCTTTATTGGCAGAGCTTTTTGGAGTTATCAATTTACCTTCTTATGATGATACTTTCATGGAAATTTCACCAATCACACATTCGGAAATTACAAATGTAGATAATGAAAGAAATAATGAAAGTGGGGTAAATGAACCAATGTTAGGTTCTGATAAACAAAAACAACCACCAAAACTAAAACAAAAAAAGAGGTTTTCATTAATAGATTGTCTTTTACTTCGTAAAGAAAATAATTCACATACAAAAGATTCTGGTACTTCAACATCAGATCCACCTTCAGTTTCTTCTAGTCGTCGTGAACTTTTATTTGAAGAAAGTCCGGATACTTCATTAGCATCAATTGAACAAGTAAATGCAAGTTATTACTTGAACATGCCCGATGAAGATGATTTGGATGGGAGTTCAGCTTTTGTGATTCGTAGTGAACCCAATAGTCCTAAATTAAGTGGAATTCCAGGAACCTTTGCAGCCTTAAATGATCTATCGTCTAACGTTGAAAATAATAATCATAATTTATCATTATCTAACGTATTTCATGGTAAAAGTTTCTGTTCCAAAGCTATTTCAAAATCACATAGAAGGTCTGTGAGTCTTGATTCATCTGTGGTTGTTGAATCATCTTCAACTTTGAATGGCATTGGTTCATCTAAAACACATTATCTCTAAAACACATTATCGACCAAACATTAAACAAAAATCCATAAAACCAAACTAATGAGGTTAAGTGAACTAGCGAGATTAGTGAGATTAGTGAGATTAGTAAGATTATTAAGAGTAATAACAAATAAGACCATGATACCACAAATGATAAATTGTATTATGATAATTTGGTAGTGACTGGACATTAAATGGCATCACGCCATAAATATAATTTAGAAATGGTTAATTAATCATATGAATTCATTGTATGAATTCTTTATGAATTCTTTACGAATTCATTGTATTTTTGTAACAACTTTCATTTATCTAGGCTTAATCATTTCACTTTAATCATTTATTCATTCATTTAAATCAAATCAGATTAAATCAAATCATTTCAATCAAATCAGAACATTCAATCAATCATTTGTTCAATCATTTTGTTCAATCATTTTATTCTTTCGTTCACTCATTTCATTCGTTTTAACCGATTTACCAATTATTGTATAAATATTTCTCAATATATTTTTAAAAGAATATCTCTCATTCACATATACATACTATAACGTTTCTTTATTTAAATATTTTTTATTTGCATATAAAATTGTTAGGGGGGTACAAAAATTTTATTTTTTTTTAAAAAAAAAATAAATAAATAAACCAAAAAAAATAATAAAAAAAATAAAGGAATTATTAATATTAAAACTTTCAAGTATATGTGAAATTCTAAGTATGTGAAATTTTAAGTGTGTGACGAATTATAATTATCAATAACGATATGGTAAAATAAAATTTAATAAATGAATTCTGGGTAACTTAACTTTATCGGTCCGAAAAAATATGTTTTTATCTCGAACTATAGGTGAATTATTGTGGCAGGTCATAATGAAATCCAGATCAAAATGAAATTATAATATAAAATCTCGAAAAATAAATTTTTTTGGGGTGCATTTTTTAGGGATAGGGGTTAGGGTTAGGGTTAGTTTTAAAGTAAAGTTATAATAAATAAGTATAAGTGGGTTTTAGAAGGTTAACAGGTTGAGTAGAAAATGTAGATTTCATTTTAAATCATGATCCGCGACAATTAATAGATTGAATGATAAATTTACAAGTTTACAAATTTTACAAATTTCTCGTGTGAATTTTAATTACAAATTGGAATTATTTAAAATTTACTAGTGGTGAATTTTCACTAGTGATTATTATTATTATTTTTTTTAATCTTCAAAGGTGAGGTCACTAGTGATTATTTATGCATAATTAAATTAAATAATTTTTATAAACCAAGAGTAAATCTATTTAGTATTAAAGTTAAATTAAAGACTAGATTAGGATAAGGATATAGCTTACAGTAAAATTTTGCAAGTAATATTTTTATTAGAGCATCAAAGCTTATTTTATATATTAAATTTTGAGTTATTGACAATTTTTTAAAAAAATTTCTTTTATTTTTGTTACACAAAATTGGTTTACATGTTACATCTGATCTTCAATTCTGATTGGCTGGTGAAATTCACCACCGGTGAGCGTTAAACTTCTCACAAATTTTCTTATTTAATATATATAGTTTGAAATAGATAACAAATTTGTTGATATCATTAAAAACATTTTGCATCAATGACTTGACGAAAACTTGCCAAGTCTTATTGATAGAGGTTGTAAATTGTATGTACTGTAACTATATATCAATTAATAATTTTTATACGTACTGTAAACGTTTAATTTAATGCACGAAAAATTCTGTGCCAGGTTTTGTCGATCATTGTGGCACAGATCCACAAACTACAAATCAGATTCATGATGAATCAGGTGTAACGTAACACGATCAGGAAATTTCGTTCGGTTTGTCAAAAATCGTTTATTTCATAAAAAACCACCCTTATTGCTCTAACAAAAAGTTTTCCTTGAGCGATTTTACTATCTAATCTTCTAATCTCTAACCTTATTTAAACGCTAACCCTAACATTTTGAGCTTTGAAAATTTTGACTGTGTCACAATGATCGACAAAACCTGGCACAGAATTTTTTTCGTGCGAAAGTATTACTATAAGTAAAAAACTAGATTTAAGAATCGGAAAACTGAATATTTGCAAAATATTTATATTTTCTTTACCCTTTTTTGTTAATGTTGTAATGCTTTTTACTGTACTGTACGTATGAGTTTATCGATGGTAATAGCGATAGTATACATTCGTACGTACTATACGTACTGTACTATAAGTACTGTACAGTTCGTGCGTACTTAAGTTACAGTACATAACTGATAAGAAAAAAATCAATAAAACAATATAACGTAATTTCTAAAAAGTATTAAGAATATTTATTGTTATAAAAAAATTAATCTGCCCTTAAGCATATGACACCAAATATCTGTTTCATATTTCATATAGTCTGCACTTCATATTCAACTATGTATTACCACACTTAGCATATAATTTTATGTATACCATTAAACGTTTGAAGCATGAAATCTAGATCATTTCGAACTAATATTAGTTGATACTTATTAGTTGATACTTATTAGGTAATACTTATTAGTTAATGCTTATTAGTTGGATAGAATAATCTTTAATTACAGAATTACTATAATACCAATAATAATACATAATGTCATCAAACAAATTTCACATAAATCATTTATATTATTTCACGCGGTTCTGAATTTAACAAGTGCGGGAAAACTTTTGTTTGACACTGTAACTCTCATCTGACTTTGGGTGCTCTCAAGCACCTAAATTAATAATTCGTAACAGTTTTTAATTAGTGAAAAATATTTCGATAGTCAAATGAGTTCATTATCGTAATGAAAAAAAAGGTGGTCTCGACCATTTTTATTTTTATCATAGAGTTGTGCTGATTGGCTAAAATTTAATATCCGAATTTCACACTACGAATCTTTAGCAAAATTTCCGTAAAGATTAATCAATTAATCGTAGTGCTTGTATGCTTTCCAATTACATTTAAATGTTTATGCAGCTAATCGTCACTTTAAAAGTATTTATCTAATTTGCGCGAGAGATACAGAAAAAAGATATGTGCTCATGTATTGTACGTACAGTACATACAATACATAGCATATAGCCACGTACGCACGTATGTAAATAAAAATTACGGTTGAATCTGCTTGTAACACTAATTAAAAATGTCAGAAATGACATTTTACATTTAGAAACTCGTTATTATCTTTATTCACAACCCCTCGCGTTCTAATTAAAACAATCTTAGGTTAAATTTTTGTGAGAATAAAATTACGTACTCCTGAAGAATTTTTAATACATTGAACGAAATACTTTGAACGAATATGATCCGAATTCGACTCGGATCTGTCTTTAGATTGTAATGTGAAAAAAACTATATAAAAAAAAGTAATGCCTAAAAAACATTACACCAACCTACAAATAGTTAATTATTTTTTTAAAAAAAATTTGAACATGCAAAAAAACCTGAAGAATTACATTTTATCGAAAAAAAAAGAGATTTCCAGGGTTAGTATTTTTCACACTATTGGGATTTTCGCCTGCTCTAGTTTACTGTTTCATTGTTCCATTGAGTATTTTTAATACAACTTTTATACAGTAAATATATATTTAATATTTTAATCCAATGGCATATTTATTTAATAATTGCAATATTTAGAATAAAATAAGCATTTTTATATATGTTGTAAGTGAGAACGGAATTTTAAGTGGGTTCAAATAGTCGAAGAAAATTTAGAAATGTGATCAATTCGAAAAATTGCTAAACACCTTAGATGTTAGCAGATCTTCTACGTATAAGTCGAGTTCTCAATCAATTTCAAAGATATATGAAATATCTTAAAACCTTAATAAAAGAAAACCTGACTAATACATCGTATTAATTAAAAAGATATTCATTAAATAGGGAGATGTTTGACCTTTAATGAGATTATTTCCTCGTCTTTCTCTTGATGCTTATCATCTAAAAAGGAACTGTCATTGCAAACCGATATCTAATATCAGTACAAATTATATAACCATTATTAACCTTATCTAATCAAGTTTAGCAACAAAATTTTCGAATATTGAATATACTAACTTTTTCAATGGAACTTCTGGTGTATTCAACATTATTAACATAGATACTTTCCTGAAAAACGATTTGTACATTACTGGTTTTATTTCAATCACGTTTATGTTTCTTTCTTTAAGAATTTGTTTCGTGTTTTCAACTATATGACATAATTGGTCAAGTGGGCTCTCTTCTTTACGTTAGTTATAGTTCTGATGATGAATAAAGGAAAAAAAGGTTAAGTTTGAAACATCCTGAAGTTTAAAACTTTTTCAGCGATTAAAGAAATATTAAGATCCATAACAATCTAGAAGATCTGTCAGAGGACCAGTTAAAAGCATCACACCTCCCTCCTAGCAGGGATGGTAAATGACCTGGTCATTTGCCCAAAATTTAAATGACCAAGTCATTTGGATAAATGACCTAGGTCA